GGGGGGGGTGGATCATGTCTTCTCTCTCTCGTCTGCCCAGTAACGGCAGCTGTGTTGCCCAGCCCTCAGAAGGTCAGAGTAGGAGGCCAAAATGGCCTAAAGTTGCCGGGGAGTGAACTCACACTTTTCTCGCCACTAGGCACCAGTGAGCATTCAAACGTCCTCAGTGTCACCTATATTCATGTGTCGGTTCGTTTGAAAGATATTTATTGAGCATCTACTCATTATCTACAGATAGTGAAGGTAGAAGGACACGTGACACAGATGAGAGGCTTTGGGGAAGAGATGCCCTGAGAAAGGGAAGTCTGAACTGGGTGCTTTGGATTTTTTTAATGTTTTTATTTATTTTTGAGAGCGAGAGAGAGAGACAGAGAGAGGGAGGGAGAAAGAGAGAGGGAGGGAGGATGGGAGGGGCAGAGAAAGAGGGAGACCCAGAATCCAGAGCAGAACCCAAGCTGTCAGTACAGAGCTTGGTGTGGGGCTGGAACTCACAAACTGTGAGATCATGACCTGAGCTGAAGTTGGACACAACCAACCGAGCCACCCGGGCATCCCGGAACTGGGTTTTTAAGGCTGAGGAGGAGACTGCCGGGTAAAACAACGGGATATGTTTGCTTGGGCCTAGTCTGTGCTTAGCAAATATTTGCCGAATGAACTGTAATTGATCATTACTGAGAGCACATACCGTGTAAAGGTTCTGTATTGGGTCTGTGAGCCCGAATGCTCCTGTGAGGCCACAGTCCTCCGTTACTGGATTATAGCCCTGATGAGTGATGGAGGGGAAGGGGGAGGGAGCGAGGGCAGGGGCAGTTGGCTTCTCTCCCATCGGGCCGTATACATTCACTGCAGTCCCCACCCGTGCTAGGCGAGTGTTCACACCTGTGAACAAGGACGTGTAATGTCTGGGGGTGTCCCTGACCACCCAGGCTCGGAGTTCTGTCCTGACTTTAAGACCTGCTGGACTGAGATCCAGGGGGTGCCATGGAGAGCTGGGAAGCGACCCCGTCTCTGGTTCTTGTCTTTAGGGAGTGTCTTGGCCTCATGGGAGGATCAGGACACAGAAGGCTTTTGGAGGGGGTGGAATGGGAGACCAATCTGAAGGCTGTCAGAAGAGGTGGGGTACGTGGGAACGCCACAGTGGCAGACAGGGCACAGAGATGGGACTGGCTGGGGAGGAACCCTTGGGCCCACGCCACACAAAGACCTGGCTCCTCAGAACCCATGCAATTGCTTCTCTTTGTCTTCTTTCACTCTGCGACCTCCCAGCCGGGTGACAGATCTTGTAAACCAACAACAAACATTGGAGGAGAAGATGCGGGAAGACCGGGACAGCCTGGTGGAGAGACTACACCGGCAGACTGCTGAGTATTCCGCGTTCAAGCTAGAGAACGAGAGGCTGAAGGTCTGTCGTGAGAGCAGGCTGGCACCATGGGTGGAGGACAGTGGCGCTGCTGGTGGGGTACTCTCGATGGGGCCCCAAGGATGACCCGGGGTTCTTCAGGGGGCCTGGAGGCAGGAGCCTGATTAGGAGGGCGTGCGCCGGAGTCGGGCCTGGATTCAAGTCCTGACCGCCTCTTGCTAGTACAGGCCCCTGGTTAGACGGTTCATCCTTTGTCCCCGAGGTTTCCTTAGCAGGAGGAAAGGGTGCCTGGTGAGAATGTGGCAATGCATGTGAGACACTTAACACGCACACTCAGCCATCGGAGGAGGACACTGACACCTGGGGGGCTGCTGGCCCCTTCATGTGTATCCACTCTCCCTTTAACCTCCTGATAATAGGGTGGTCGTCTCTGCTTTATAGAATAAAGAAGCAGGCTTCAAGAGGGGTCAGGTTTGTTGCCCAGATTTTGCCCTTGGAAGTGTTGGAGTTTGGATTTGAAGCCGATTCTCGTTCTGGAGTTTCGGCTTTTAACCACTTGCTATACACCCAGCACAGCAGGGACGAGAGGCACCTGAACCAAGGTTCATATTTCAGAGCCAGGTTGGATCTTATTAATTGATCTGGACAATGACATGTGGGCTTGTTTATTTATTTTTTAAAATATTTTGGTTTTTGTTTTTTTTTCAACATTTATTTATTTTTGGGACAGAGAGAGACAGAGCATGAACGGGGGAGGGGCAGAGAGAGAGGGAGACACAAAATCGGAAACAGGCTCCAGGCTCTGAGCCATCAGCCCAGAGCCTGACGCGGGGCTCGAACTCCCGGACCGCGAGATCGTGACCTGGCTGAAGTCGGACGCTTAACCGACTGCGCCACCCAGGCGCCCCTAAAATATTTTGTTTTTATGTAATTTCTTTTTTAAAAGAATTTTTTTTTTTAGTGTATTTGTTTAGAGAGAGACAGAGTGAGTGGGGAAGGGTCAGAGAGAGAGGAAAAAGAGAGAGAATCCCAAGCAGGCTCTGCGCCATCAGCACAGAGCCCGATGTGGGGCTCGAACTCACGAAACCTGAGCTCATAACCTGAGCCAAAACCGAGAGTGGCATGCTTAACTGACTGAGTCACCCAGGCACCCCGTATTTTTATGTAATTTCTACACCCAACTTGGGGCTTGAACTCACAAACCTGAGATCGAGAGTCACATACCTAACCGACTGAGCCAGCCAGGCACCCCTAGATTAATTTTTTTTTTTTTTTTTACTGGTTTATTTGTTCAGATTGATTTTAAAAGAAGTATGACGTATGGCAAGGTACACACATTCTAGAATTTTCATGAAGTGAACACATTTTTGTCCATCAGTCACCTTGACCCAAACCTTATTAGCACCCCAGTGACCTCACCTGCTTATAAGCCCCCCTGTGAAGGTGACCGTTATCCTGACTTCAGTCACCACAGGTTAGCTAGCCTGGTTTTGAATTTTGTGCCTGGCTTTCATACAGCATTATGGTTGCGAGCAATCTGTGCCGTGTGACAGGTCTCATTCTTAATGCTGTCCGGTCTGCTGTTGCACGACCACACCACAGTAAATCTATCCATTCTACTGTCAGTGGATATCTTTGTGTACCTTTGGGTGCACCTGTTTGGTGTATTTAAAAAAAAAATTTTTTTTTTAACGTTTATTCATGTTTTGAGTGAGACAGAGCCAACGAGCAGGGGAGGGGCAGAGAGAGCCCGATATCAGGCACAGAGCCTGATACGGGGCTCAAACCACGAACGGTGAGATGGTGACCTGAGCCGAAGTCGGATGCTTAACCGACTGAGCCACCCAGAATTTGTAAATTAAATTCTACCTTGAGGTAGAGTTGCCGGGTCATCAGATAGTGAGCATAAATTCGGCTTTGGTAGAAGTCACCACAGAATAAGACGGTTGTACAAATTCACCTTCCCGTCAGGGATGTGTGAAAGGCAAGAATTGCTCCGTGACTCCTCGGGGACACTTGGTACCGTCAGCCTTTCCCACTGGAGCCACTCGCGGGGGAGGGGCGGTTGCTGGGGAAATGAAAGTCAGCCTCCACGCCTAACAAGTGGTTAGGGGGTTGGTTACAGTTATGTGTGTCTGTGAAGCGTTACACAGTGTGGCCATTCAAAATAATGTTTTTAGGAGTCTGTTGTCTTAGATGATGATTACAAAGTTCACAGTGGAAGTTTACCACAGTGCACAAATGTGACGCGGAAGTCTTGTTCTTCCTTAACTGTACATAGGTATTTTTCCAGTTGTTTTCCCCCAATACTAACATAGACATTCAAACACATACGTACCCATTATTCTGCAACCTGCTTTTCTCATTCAACCATACTTCACGGATATCTTTTTAGGTCAGGTTTGGGTTTTGTTTTGTTTTGTTTTGTTTTGTTTTGTTTTGTTTTTTAGCTTTATCTCTTTCAGTGACTGCATATTGTTTTACTGTATTGAGATACAATGATTTCTTTTGTTCCATCTACTGAGGTGAACATTTAGGCTGTAGGAGGACATTTGTTGACTTGAGAAGTAGGTATAACATCGTTGTTACTTGCAAAAGCATGTTGCAAAGCAGTAAGTACAATATAATCAATCCCATTCTTGCTGAAAAAAAAAAAAAGTACTCAGCTACTGACAGAAAGCCATAAATCAAGGCATCCCTTGGTGCAATCATCATGCATCACAATTAGTTTTCCTTGGTCTTACCTCCATAGTCTTTAACAATTATGTATTGCTTTTGTAATAAGAACAAGAAAACACAGGGGTCGCTTTCTTGCATCTACACTTGACCCTTGAACTGCATGGGTCCACTTATATGCGGATTTTTTTTTGGATAAATACAGTTCAGGACTATACGTGTATTTTCTCTTCCTTATGATTTCCCCAACGTTTTCTCTGCTCTAGCTCACTTTATTGTAAGAGTACAGTATCTAAGACATCTAGCATACAGAATAGGTATTAATTGACTATGTGTTACTGGGAAGTCTTCCGGTCAACAGTAGGTTACTAGAAATAGTTAAGTTTCGGGGGAGTCAAAAGTTCTATGTGCATTTTTGATTGTGTGGGAGGTCGGTGCCCCTAGGCCCCCCATCGCTCAATGGTCAAGTTCTTTCTTCACTTGAGTTGCCCTGGCGCACCTTGACTTCGGGTGTGGGTGTGAGGCGTCAGGGCTTCCCCCGGCTGGCCACTTGCAGTGGGAGGTGAGGGTGGGATGGCTGTCTGCTCTGGGAAGCTTCCTGCGGGTTACTCAGTAGGCACCCCTTCTAGGCTAGTTTCGCCCCGATGGAGGACAAGCTCAATCAGGCGCACATCGAGGTGCAGCAGCTGAAGGCGTCGGTTAAGAACTATGAAGGGATGATCGACAACTATAAGAGTCAGGTAGGTGGTCTGCGCGAGGTCAGCCAGGAGGCCTCTCCCAGGAAGGGTCGGGTGGAAAGGTGTTTTTCACTGAAACTCGGCCCAATGCTTTGGCGGCTCCTAGGTGATGAAGACCAGACTGGAGGCTGATGAAGTGGCCGCCCAGCTAGAACGCTGTGACAAAGAGAACAAGATCCTTAAAGATGAGATGAACAAAGAGATCGAAGCGGTACTGCTCCCCTTCCTTGCTTTCTTCCGCCATCCAGTCCTGGGTCTGCCAGTCTGTCCCTCTGGGCTTCCTTGATTTCGACCAGAAAATTGAGTTTTCTCCTTGCTGGGCTGGTCCACACTACTGTGTATGTGCCTTCTCCCTGCTCTTGCTCTCTCTCTCTCTCTCTCTCTCTCTCTCTCACTGTCTCGCTGCTGCTTTCCTCCTGGTTTTCTTCTTCAGTTTCCTTAAAATAATCTCCCCTGCTTAGAGCAAATCCAAGTGGATTCAGGTGCTAAGATCTGCCAGGTCTTGGCCATGCCTGTTTTGTTCTGCACCAACCCAAAGATGTGCCTCTCCTTCCCCTTTCCCCAAAGAACCTTATTCTTTTTTTTTTTT